TTCCCAAAATGAGAGTATGGATGGAGAGTGCTCGGATGAGGAAGTTTCAGGAAACCGCTGTCTCTGATGAGGTTGTACGCAGATGTGGATTTGTGACGCAGTGCAATGCACCAGCGAATTAAAGCAGGGTGCCACCTCATACCTTTTCCTGTGCTGGCACTTTTCTTTTGCTGCTCCCAGAGAAGAAATCCAGGAGAATTGTCGCCCAAAAGCTTCTTCAGAGCACTGTCACTTTTTTGGATGCAGAGCTGTAACTCATCCTCTTGGTCTGGAGGTAGAACTGTACCCTCTTTCATCACCATTCTCTCTATCTTCGACGTCATCATAGATACTCTCCTCCTGAGTTGATTTCTTTCTGTGCTGAGCAGGTTTGCTTTCTGGATCAGATCCTTCTGACTCAACAAATCATTCCTAGTTGAGGAGCTAGTGCTGACATCTGTGCTGGAACTTTTTGCAGTAAGCCTTCTGTGATCCAAAGATGCAAGGTCACTCTTATGAAGTTTACAAACTTGGCATCTGGTGGCTGATTTTGGCACCAAGAGGGCACATTGTTTGTGGCGAACTGTCATGAACGGATGAAACTGAACAATGTCACCACCAGTTATTGTAACTGGGAGTTCCCCATTCATCCCGTGCCTTGACTTTACAGTAGCTGGAAACTCATCTACTCCTTCACAGACATCGTTGTAAGAGATAACGTGGACAGCTGCCACAATATCTGAGATTTGATGCAGGTGAGTGGGAAGGCCCTCAAGAGTGGTGTTTCCGTTTTCGACTGTAATACTGCAAACAGATACATTCCATGACTTGTCCGGGAACATCTTGATAAGTGCACATGGCTGGCCGTTGTGGAACATCTTCATTGCTTGGACAAAGTGAGACCCCTGCCATACTAACAATTCATGCTGACTGGCGATATCTCGAAAAGAAACCAACGATAGATCACAATGGGGACAGGCAGTATCTTCAAATGCACACACCCGTATGTTGCAAGTGTTATCCTTCTTGTGCCGCTTCTCCTTATCCCACCATAACTTCAGTTTTTGATAGCAACTGAGGCATATGAAAGGCGGATGTATGCTGGGAATGTCATATGCAACGTCAACTTTCAAAGCTCGTCTGATAAGCTCAGCATTGGCTTCTTTGGCATATGGTGTCCTTCCTGGCTTAACTGCTCCATCGTTGCCACATAGTCTACAGATACATTTCAGGGCTGTTACATTTTTTGCCATGCTTCGATGCTCTGAGGCCCCATAAAAACTGTTTGCCAAAATGTAGATACACGTACATGTACACCATTCAAAAATCTCCGCTTAATGACAAACTAAAAACCTTCACCACAACTTACTTCACTTCCTCTTTCATATGAAGGAGTACATCCATGTTCAAACTAGAACTACTTTATATAAAGTAATTCTCAGACCATGCTAGGATGTAGGCAACACTGGAAAATGCAATCAACTTGAAGGCAACAATTAAGCCACTCTCATGAAAAATGTTCCCATGAACAAGTAACTGGCCTTGGAAACCTTAGATTAATACGCTGTATTCATATTGCTGATGTAACCTGTGCAAAGAAAGAGAGAAAAGAGAGAAAACACTTAAACACATCATACATGTAACTTGTTTAGAATGACTGTGCACGACTGTACATGTACATAATGCATCTAAGTACATGTTCAAGGAAGACATATTTATAATTTTAGCAAATTTTGCTTTTTACGTTGTGGTTTAGCTTGTGATTAGTTTCTAATTTTGAAACTTCAAGGCAAAGAGGTATTTCACTATTCGATATTTTTTGAACAGATAAGCATATACATGATTAATATTTTGAGTCTGTCATGTGATATGGTTGACAAACAATGACATGCTAGTCGCCAAAAAACCCTTGAAAAACATCACTTAAAAAGTCTTTAAAAAGATGGGATCAAAAAGGCAGTTGATATTTAGCCGGCGCCAGCTAAATTATTCTGTAAACGCTATTTTGCCGTCTGGGTACTGAACATGCACGGTGACAAATGTCAGTCTGGATCCGCACCCAACATTGTTGTTGTGACTTCATAATACTCGTTTCCAAGTTTGGACTTTATTTCCCAAATCCTCCAGAGTTAAGAATCAGAATAAGAAAAATATAAATATCTGCAATTAATTGAATTTGAAGATGTAATTTTATACAGTGAAAAAAAGCATTTTTTTTTTTTGGAGAGAAAAACTAAAACAAACGAAAACCTGTCACGAACTGCAGTCAAACCTGCACTACTGCCATGTATGCACAAGGAGCCTGTGGTGGCTTGACAGCAGATGGCTTAATAACATTCACTAAAAAAAAACAGCGATGTCTAAATAAATATCCGGAAAGAATGTTGCAACCTGACGCCACTTTTTTCTTCATACATCATATCAATGAATGTCATTTGTTGCAAAAATGATGATAAGACATGAATCTGGGACTGAGAAATATTGCCAAGTTTGTTAGGAAATACTTTAGGAAAAAAAAAATTCTTGACTCTCCATGGACTTTGTAAATTGTACACAAGCGCGGAAGTGGCATCAGGTTGCAAACATTTTTCCAAATTTCCAATTCCAAAAAAAATTTCAAATTAAAGCAAATCAAAAATTTGAAAAATTCCTGTTGCAATGTACATGACTGGGCCACACAATAAATATTTTTATAATTTTGTTTGGACAATGACTTGTCAATGTCAGTTATCCTGTCAGAAAATCAGAAAACAAACCAAAATATCTAGGTACAGTACTAGGCCTAACACTAAAACAGCAACATAAAAAAACATGCAATAGTAAATACTGTCGACCCTTCCCCAAAAAAGTCCAGTCTGTTATAAATAATTAATTTCGAGAATGTATATTCGTATTTACAATGTGACTAGTAATAAAAACTAAAAGGAAAAGCAAATCCTCCCCACTTAATTTAAGAACATTCAGTGTTGTATCTTTGGAAAAAAAAAACTTGATCATATCCTTCAGTGTATCCCTCAATCACTGCACACGTATGCTGCTTCAATGGTAGTTCAGAAAAAGATATTCATATTTTTTTCGGACATCGGTCTCGAGTTGGATAGGGTTGTATACGTAAGTGAATGGTACCGATGGAAAGCCCAGCATACGTGCGTCAAAATGAATCATTTTTCGGCCGAGAAAATTCGTGAATTTACTCAAAATATCAGGTTTAATAACACGTGTATTTTGGGCAATAAATTATACAAAACGAAACGTAACTCACCGAGAAATAAACCAATTTCGACAAACCAAACATCGTTCGAAAGCTCTTACAATTTTCAACAACAATCCACCATTGCCATCAACTACATGTCGATCATTCGCCCAATCTGCACATGCTTAGAGTTTTGTTTGTTGAAGAATATCCACTCCAGTGTGAAATTTGCATGCAGCGAAGTGACGTAGGAATATTAAGTACAGCATGCTTCAACACGATGTCGATTCAATGGCTGTGGGTTACCAGCGAAAAGCGGCGACCATCGTACTGCTCAAAGGACCTTGCGGTCGTAAAATTTTACGAGATCTCAGCGGGCGGTCGCTGCGCTGTGGCTATGCACCAGAGATAACGCTAATTGGTTGGAATTTCAGCCCGGGAAGTTCGAACTCCTTGGGTCTAGTCCTAGCTCTATGGTACAATTTAGTGTAAGATCCCTTGACTTCAGTCCCGGATCCCTCGACGACCTTCAACACTCTTCCAGGCCAGGCCTGGTTGGCGGTCCCCATAGCAACCTCTCACAACTCCAGACCAAAACGTGTCCCTAGTGTACTATAATTCATCTTGCTAGGGCACTGTGCATTTGTGTGACAGTGTCCAAGTTAACACACATCCATGCTTTTATTTTATACACCTAGACACCCAATTTTGGCAACACCCCCAATTACGTACACAACCTTCCTTTCATCAAATCTTCCATCAAACCTTCATTTCTTCAAACATTGCTCCAACCCATGAGTCTTCAACCCATAAACAGTTTTCAATACTGAACTGTGTTCAACTGTAATAAAGGAAGCGTATATGCTGTTCCATGGGACCAAATCTAATTTCTTCATAAATTTAACTGCAAGTCAATAACTGTAGTCGGCTATACAGCTAAAATCACTAATTGATGCCAAGAAATGTTTCAAAAATTCCATCGGTTACGTACTATTCATGAAGTGACTTATCCTAGGCTAGCGAAAGGCATGAAATACTGGAAAAGCAAACTATAAGTCTCTGCACATTTGCAATGGCCACATTAATTAATGCATTATCTAGTTTAATACAATCTACAAATGATATAAATTTGTAAATATTGCTCCAGTTCTTACAACAAGTCAGTGATATCATGGAGCAAGGAACTGATAAATCAGTGTGAAACGGGTCAATGATTGGACGCAATACACAACAACCGATTGCAAAACTGATAACGCGGTCGCGAAAGTCCATCACCGATCGCAAATGTCCATCACCGATCGCAAAGTCCATCACGGATTAAATGCCTCTTTGGCATTCTTGTGTCGCCAAAGAGGCATTCAATTGGTGATGGTCTTTTGCGATAGGTGATATTTTGCAATCGGTGATAGACTTTGCAATCGGTGATAGACTTTGCAATCGGTGACGGTTCACCGGTCGTTGATCACCGGTCGCAAAAATCCATCACCGATTGCAAAAGTCCTTCACTGATCACGAAAGTCCATCACCGCTCGTGAATATGCATCACCAGTAAAAGTTGATCGCCATCACAGAAGTCCATCACCGATCGTGAATATGCATCACCGATTGCAAAAGTGCATCACCGATTCGATGATCACATTAAATGCCTCTTTGGCGTTCCATAGACAATGGACCATCTTCTGAGATGTCTGCTGTTAGAAAAAGTGAACTACACCATCACAGCACAGTTTTGTGCTCAACATTGGTCAACAGCAAATTGAGTACGACATGATAGATAGATCTCAAAGAATACATGTACATTAAATTTTGTGGATTGCATTAATTACAGATACTAGCAGAATCCATCAGGCAGAACAACGTGTTGACTTCCCTAAATGTGGAATCCAACTTCATCACCCAAGTTGGTGTCAATTCAATAATGCAAGCAATGAGGAAGAATTCTTCTATTACTGAACTCAGGATCGCAAACCAGGTATGAAGAGGTTGCATTCAACTTTTCTTAAATGAAATAAATTCATTTGTCTAAAGTTAAGTAAATGGTTTCTTTAAAGTTGGTATATACGTGCTTTTTCAAATTTTCAATTTTCTTTTCTGAATGAAATTTAAAGGAATATAATGTCCTGTAACGAATAGATTTGCTTGTTTGCTTTGCAGGCCTTTGTACAGTTTTAAAAAGTGGTTTTAAATGGCACGCTCCAGTTCAGAAAAAAATTGAGCGAAATGCTATAAATATATTCATATCTAGTGACGTTTCAGCTCCTGGAACGCCGAGCATAGCTACGTGTAGCCTTTCGCCAAGGCCATCGTGGCTTAACTTGCCGGCATTAGACAAAACGCCGCTATAACGAACACCGCGGGATCCACATAAATTGTTCGTAATAGCGATCGTTCGGTATAGCGATTTTAAGGTGGCAATGCTCACTTTTAAATAAAAAGCACTCTTCAGAACTTCGCCCTGCATGCCCTGCATGCATGCCCTGGTATACATGTAGTTACTGAAAGATGACTTTGAACTCATGCCGACAATTTAATTATGTAATTACACAATTTTTTAGCTTATTACCTATGGCAATAGGTGGCTTTCCCCTTGTATTCCTTGGGGAAATGATAGCCACTTGTCACTTTCTGTTTATATTCTTCAACAACAATGTTCAGTACATTTTGTACACAAAAATCGGGGGCCGAAGACGATATTCAGTGTAGCCAAATGTTTGGTATAGCAGTGTAAAGCGACGTGCCACTGTAATTGATTACTTGTCATGGTTCGATTTTTTTTTTTTCGTTCAATGTTGCATTGGAAAGTTCATAACTTATGTAATACTAGAATATTATCAATTCAATTTGAAAATCTATTTTTCAAGGTGCCACACCCAAAAAGCATATATATACCAACTTTAACAAATCTGAGTGGTAAAATGAAGTTCATCGAAATTTGACCCCCCCCCCCCCAATTTTCATTTTGACATATGCAGAATTGCCAGATGGGCCAGAAGCTGGAATGTGAAATTGCCAATATCCTGGAATCTAATTCTACTCTTCTCAAGCTTGGATTTGCTTTTGAGCATGCTGGACCACGGGTACAAGCACATGATGCCATTCTGAGGAATATTGAAACAGGTGAACAGAGATTAAATGGCTTTCAATCCAACAATAATAAAGCCGTCTTTTAATGTAACCTCTGCAAAACGTCCTTGTGTTTCACCCTACATATAACTGTAAACGTCCTTGTGTTTCACCCTACATATAACTGTAAACTATTATTGCTCTTGCAAAATATGCCCAGTTTGAAATTGCTTACCAACTTGACAATACAGGGTGAGTAAAAAAAAGTCCCTTTGGATTGTTTCTTGTCTCCCACAAAAATGGGAAAGGTGACCAGGGTTATTGTTTGGCCAACAATCGGTCATCACGTTCAGTGAAATTTTCACAGATATTCAGCCATGCATGGATAGGATACAGACCTTTCTTTGTGACTACCCGAAAACACTGCCAACACATGTTCAGGATAGGCCTTTTGCTATCAACACAAGAGCAACAATTTATGGGCCGCTGGACAATGAAGGAAACAAAAGGAACAACAGAACAGGATATGCATGAAATGGAATTACATTTATTTAACTTGAAACCAAATTACAGATAAGGTTCACATTTTCACTGTCCTGCTGCTCGACCTTCCATGTGTCTGTCATTCAGAGCAATGCATAGTTGAGGCAAAGAACACGGATGGTCCGCAGAGCGTTGCAGACATGAGGACATGGGCACAGTCCATATTTCACCAGTCCGGACATATTTGTGCCCATTCTTATGAGGAAAAAAATGCTTAATACGAGCTTCGATTCCATGAGATTTCGGTTAAGACGAGCACTTTTCGATCCCCTTGTGTCAATCAGTGGGACAATTAAAATTGGAGAATTGTTGATCATCACGATGATAATGCTCGCTTATACTGCACTGCGGTTTCCACACTACAAAAACGCACTGGCGTTGTTTGCATCTCGATCGTACTGGAACTTACAAAAGACAGACAATGCACTTGTGATTCTCTTCAAGTTGCCGCTAACTGGGTCCGGGGCGGTAGCTCTCGTGTTGCCAGAGAGAGAACCTTACAATGCTTTTAATAAAAAAGGGAATTGTTAGTGATGGCAAAAAAAATAACACCCAAACCCAGCATTGTTTTTGAGCGATAAAAATAAAATACCCCATTTAAAAAAAAAAAATTGTCCTGCCCCCACCCAAACATACTTGACAAAAAATCAAGAGCGGGGATATCAGGTAGGGCCTACACTCCAGTTGTTTGTTCACGTACGTTACATAAAATCCGCCCAAGTCCGCTCCACCAGGGAAAGAAACGATGTTAAAAAAATACGCCTAACGCCATCCATACCCTTGCCTAAAAAAGAATTTTCCTGACAGAAATAAAATGAAGCCCACCCCGATCATCGTTCATTAAAATAAAATATCCGCCATAGAGTGTAACAATCAGTGTTGTAGAGTGTAACAATCAGTGTTGTAGGTCTCGAGACTGGTCTCGGTCTCGAGACCACTTTTTGCCGGTCTCGGTCTCGGTCTTAGGAGCTGTGGTCTCGGTCTTGGTCTCGGTCTCGGTCCCCTTGGGTCTCGATATTTTGCTGGTCTCGAGTCGAGAACAGCCAAAATGTCGCCATTTGAGTCTGGCACATAAAGCAAAGTAAGTACCAATTTATGCAATAAGGGCCAACCATTTTCGGGCATTGTGTAGTTTAGCCCACCTCTGTGGGCGTTAACTTAAGTACATGTATTTTATATGTTGAAAATGAACGAGGTGCTCCAAATTGTGGCATTTTCGACCCCAATCTTCTCTTTAGTTTGGGATAGTATTTTGGAGGAAGAGTACACTTTCCTACCTGATTTTCCAGCAATGAATTCACACACTCGTACCAGTAACCACTCACTGTTGCCATGAGAGTGTATGATGAGACACCATTTTCTGGCTGCTCATTTGAAGTACCCCATTATTATTATAAGATGGAATTTTTGCACCTGGGTGATATAAATCAAATTAGGTTTTGCCTTTCACCGACGTGACGTTTTGAAAATAAACGAGGTGCTCCAATTAGTGGAATTTTTGACCCCAATCTTCTCTTTAGTTTATGCGGTACCCCTTGCTATGTACATCAGATTCGAACCAGCCAACCGATCCTGTTAGCTCGGTGGTCGAGTGGTAAGACATCTGCACTAGAAAGCAGGTGGTCGTGGGTTCGAGTCCAACCCGAGTGATTTTTCCAACTTTCATTCCGGAGGTAACACACTGAGTATACAGTGTTTAAACATCGGTGAAGGGCAAAACCTAATTTGATTTACCCCATTATTCCTCAAAAAGCAAAATCCCAGGCAGAAAAAAATAAAAATCCATTCCTGGCTACCACCTCGCAACTAATGGATAATGGATCAGCGTTCTTGTCGCACCCCCCCGTGAGTACCCAGGTCTGCCTGGGGAAACTGATGATCCAAACAGCTGGCCAAATCCTGTACTGGATCCTGGCCCCGATCTCGAACATCAAGTCGCAGACAATGTCTTTCTAGACATTGGCCCTGCTGTCCGAATCCTCCAGCTCAACATTGAAGGCATCTCTGCTGCAAAGTGTGAAATCCTAGCTACAATCTGCTCCACAGAAAAAGTTGACGTCATCTGCCTCCAGGAAGTACACGTTGGTGCTGAGGACCCCAGAAGCAGACTCAAGATCGCAAACTACGACCTTGTGGCCTTCGCAGGTCATCAGCAGTACGGAAGAGCCACCTTCGATCTGACATAGCTGACACTGAACTCCTTGAATCAGCAGAACTTTTTGATACAATCCGTGTGGGCAGCTATAAAATCATCAATGTCTACAAGCCACCTTTCACCGACTGGATCGACGCTGCTCTGCCAGCTCATCAACACCCAGCCATCTATGTGGGAGACTTCAACAGCCACCATGCAACCTGGGGGTATGAAAAGGCAAATAGCTGGAATCGTGACTGACCTGTGCTGGGTCACCTCACATCATGGCCAACCTCTACGAACAACCGTAAAAGTACTGGATGACTTCCCAAGGAGTCAACACAGACCTATTGTGACACATGTTGGGTTACGCATCCCAATAACCAGATCACTACAAAAACCATGCTGGAATTTTCGTAAGGCAAACTGGACGAAATTCTCTGAACAGCTTGAGAAGAGTGTCGTTTGCATCCCCATCAAAGGGCCCTCAGTGACTGAAGCATACACTAGATTTTCGAAAGCAATCTTCAAAGCAGCCAAGGCCAACATTCCGTGAGGCTTCCGACCTATTTATATCCCGTGCCTAGACTCCTAATGTCGGCAACTTCTAGAAGAGTACACAAGTTCAGGCGACCCAGGCATTGCTGATCACCTCATCGAATGTCTTGACAATGCCCACCAACTAAGATGGGAGGAAACCACCAGCAACCTGAACTTCACACACTCAAGTCAGAAAAAGATGGAACCTTATTCGCAACCTCGGCTCCAATCAACAACCCCCCAATTCAACCAGACCATCAGTCAAACCAAATGCAGTAGCTAGCCATCTTATCAACGTGGGCAAAGCTCCGATTGACAAAAAGATCAAACATGAGATCACACAAGAATGGCGTTCACTCAGGAAGTCAAGACCAGTAGACCAAACTACAACGGTAACCCCAATCACCATCAAAGAAGTGAACACAGCCTTGAAAGATCTGAAGTGTGGAACAGCCCCAGGATACGACAACATCCTCCCTGAATTCCTGCAACATCTGGGACATGCAGCAAGAAACTGGCTTGCACTCTTCCTTTCACAGGTTACTTTGGAGAAAAGTCTTCCCAAAACCTGGAGAACTGCTAAAACCATCGCCATCCCCAAATCTGGGAAAGACCCAAAATTGGCTTCCAGCTACCCTCTGATCTCCTCTCAATGTGCTACAAACTGTTAGAGCGGATCATCCTCCACCGGATCGAGCCAACTGTTGAGGATGTACTGCACATCGAGCAAGCGAGATTCTGTTCTGGCAGAAGTACACAAGATCAGGTTCTTGCCCTCACCGCCTACATCGAAAACGGATACCAGCAACGCTTCAAGACTGGCGCTGTCTTCCTCGATGTAACTGCTGCATACGATACTGTATGGCACAAAGGTCTGCTAGTTAAAATCTCCAAAGTCCTACCACGCTGGGCTGTCGACACAGTTGAGCTGCTGTTGCAACAACGACAGTTCCGTGTTCACATGGGAGACACTAGCAGTTCCTGGAGAAGGCAGAAGAACGGCTTGCCACAAGGATCGGTACTGGCACCCATTCTGTTCAACCTGTATATCGATGACCACCCAGCCACAATCTGCTGGAAGTTCATCTATGCCGACGACATCTGCCTTGCCCATCAAGCTGAAAAGTTTGAAAACCTTGGCTCTACCATCAACAGTGACTTAGCCAAGATCAGCGGATACTGCAAACACTGGCGACGTCAGCCCAGCATAGCCAAAACAGTATCTAGTGTTTTCCACCTGCACAATGCTAGAAGTGACCAAGAGCTGGACATTTTCCTCAACGGCAATCGTCTAAGCCACGTCTCTAGACCCACTTATCTTGGCGTCACCTTGGACCGAACACTCACCTTCAAATCTCACCTTACAGAAAGTGGCTGCCAATGTTCGGACCAGAAACAACCTAATCCACATGCTTGCCGGTACGACCTGGGGAGCAAATGCAAAGACACTCCGCTCATCAGCACTAGCTCTCTGCTGCTCAGTGGCTGAGTACTGTGCTCCAGTCTGGAAGAACTCTCTATTATCCACTCCAAACGTGTGGTTTCTTACTTTCCTCCTCCTTGTACATTGCATGCATTCATTGCAGATGATTACCAGCTTATGTTAATGTACTCACGTGTGCTGTGCACGATGTTGACATTATTGCTTTGACATCGCATGACGGGTTCGTTGACTTTTTGGCACGTTGTCAGTCAGTTTTATTCTTTTCTCCTTTTCTTCTTTATTACATTAAACATTTTTTGCTTCATATTATGCACTATAACTTTGCATTTCACTTTAATATGTTATACATTAGAACAGTTTTGAAAGCAAAAAGAAAAGAGTTTTGAAAGCAAA